CTGCCCAGGCTGTTATAATACCATCAGGACCCCACTGCTTGATGGCCCCCAGCCTCTCCCACCTGGAATCCAAAGTGCCGTGGAGACCTTGAGGCGGGGCACAGGATCCTTAGGTGTGTGCTCCAGACTTTAGTGGGTGCCTCCAGGATGGCTGGGAAGACCAGTCATGAGTCAGAACTTCAGAATCTGAAAAATCCTTAGCACCTAAGAGGTCATTTGTCTCCACCCCCTCACTTTAAGGATGAGGAAATTTTTCAGGAGGGATTGAAATTAACTGTCATGTCCAAGGCCATGCATTGTTAATGAGCATTTAAGGTTTTGTAGTTTCTCAAAATGATACTCTTTTCAAATTCACAACTAACCTATGGGGCTATAACCATGTCATCTTAAATTACATTGCATTGGAGGAAAATGTCTTAAAGTCAAAAAACTTATTTATGTAATATTATGCAGTTTTTGGCACATTAAATTTGATAGCCCTTACATTTTAAACATTCTGTAACTGTTATTAAAAAACATTAATCAAGAGTTTTTGGAACGAGGTTGCCACATAAATGAAAATAAAATGCCAAAAAGACGTTTTAGGTATAGCTAAGAATTAAAAAACTTACTGAATTTGAGGCTGGGTGTGGTGGCTCACACCTGTAATCCCAGCACTTTGGGAGGCGGATGCTGGTGGATCACCTGAGGTCAGGAGTTAGAGACCAGCCTGGCCAACATGGCGAAACCCCGTCTCTACTAAAAATACAAAAAGTTAGCTTGTCATGCTGGCAGGCGCCTGTAATCCCAGCTACTTGGGAGGCTGAGGCAGGAGAATTGCTAGAACCCAGGAGGCAGAGGTTGCAACGAGCCGAGATCGTGCCACTGAACTCCATCATGGTCAACAGAACGAGAGTCTGTGTCAAAAAACAAAACAAACAACTGACCAAATTTGAAATTAGGCTCACAATGTTAAAATTTGCAGAGGAGCAAGACGTATTTTTTTTTGGCTTGAGGATATGTAGTAGCACTGTGTTTTGCCCAGTTTTGGAGTTAAATTGGTAGCTAGATGTTAGAGCAAACACATTGTTCTGGTTTATGTGTCAGTGTATTCTCAGGTGTTTTTCTTGCTTTCTTTCAAAGTAGAATGCAGGATGTAGGTGTGTATTGTGTAAACAAGGATGAATCAAATTAATTTCTTTCTTGTCTTGGCTCTTGTCTTTGTATAGTGTAGCTAATTTCACACATTCCAGCTGAGGGCCATGCCTTCCTATTGCTGGCCTGTAAAGAAGTCAAAAACGTCTCTCTGAGTAGCATTTGGTGAGTCAGGAAGACCACACTCACTGACAGGCACAGTGAGGTGAGGCCCCTTAGTCATCCCGTGGGACTCAAGGATGATTCTTGGGCTTCTGTTAGTACTTTTGTGTGAGGGACTTGGAGATCTTCAGAGATCATTTTTATAATTAACTAGAACTACTCATTTGACTGGGAATGTTGACGTTTAAAAATTTAATGAGCTGCATGTGTAGGGGTGGAGGGAATATGACTTGTCTGGAATGACAGCCGAGGTAGCAGAAATAGGAGTAAAGTCAGGGGTGCTGGGAATGCTGCCTCACTGCCCTGTGTCAGCCTCCACCGCCTCCCCAGCCCCGATACGCAGACGAGGAAGGAACCCCAGCAGCCGCAGAGCCTCTTCGCCCAGCGAGCTTGCCCTAGTCCTGGCTGCCCCACTTGCTGTCTCCCTGGACTTGCATCCACCCCTTACTCCCTGGAGGCCCTGCTGGGAGGGGAACGCCACCACCTAGTTCATGACCCTTTGGTGAAGGATGAAGTAGACTGTGTGTCTACACTGCACGGCTCAGGACACAAGCACCTTAGCACAGCGAGGTCACCATTGATCTGAAGTGCTGGGACTGAGCCCCAAACCTGGCTGTGAACTTCCGGGGGGCAAGAAAGAACAGGGTTGTATGGGAAGTTACTGAGCATACATCAGCCCAGAAAGACAGCTTTGCCCACCTTTTCCTGGGGCGCACAGAGAATATGGATCAACGGGGAGAAAGCACTGCCAGACAAGCCCCAGGGCAGCGGCGGTGGCACTTGGCCACGGGAGCAGCCGGTGAGTGTCTCCAGTTGGCCTGTTAATGCTGTTTCGTCCACTGGATTTTGCTACCGGAGCCTGACATCAGTTTAAGGCATATTCTCTTTGCAGATTAGGGACAAGATAAGAGAAGCCAGTTGGGAACCAGTTAAGCTGTGGGGAAGCACACAGTCTATTATGAAAATTAGAGAGCCTGATGGTATAGATTGTTTTCTCATTAGAAGGCTTCCCTTCCCGCAGAGGGCCCCTGCAGATGGCTGTAGGCAAAGCCAGCCTCTTCCTTTAGGAAGCAGCTTGGAACTTACTCCGGGGTTTGAATCCATTCCTCCTCATTATTACAGAGCAGGAAAGGAAAACCCTTGATTGAAAACTGTTGTGAGGCAGGTGTTCACAGGTGTTCACCGTGGCCACAGGAAGACCACAGAAACGTTTCCAGAAAATGTCTAGTTTTAAGCAGTTTATCCTCAAAGGCTGAGTTTGCTATACAATAATTGGGATTTGGGATTATGGATACCGATTACTTAAATATTACTTAAATATTGAATGACTAATTAAATACAGTGACTTTTGTTCTGATTTTCAGTGCTTTCTCCTGATAAAAGATGAAGGTCTAAAACTGAAACAAGAGGAATGATCTATTGGAAAGAACGAGGCAGACTTATTATTCTTAGATAGTATAGTTGTGTACTTTCAAAACCTGAAAGAATCACCAAAAAGCAATTACGTTTAACTAAGAATGTAGTAAAGGAACTAACCATTTTTCTTATATACCTATCACCTTAAGTATTTATCATTTTCTTTTTTCTTTTTTTTTTTTTTTTGAGATGGAGTCTTGGTCTATTGCCCAGGCTGGAGTACAGTTGTACAATCTCAGCTCACGGCAACCTCTGCCTCCTGGGTTCAAGTAATTCTCCTGTCTCAGCCTCCTTAGTAGCTGGGATTACAGGTGCACACCACCACGCCTGGCTAATTCTTGTGTTTTTAGTAGAGATGAGGTTTCACCATGTTGGCCCTGCTGGTCTTGAACTCCTGACCTCAGGTGATCCCCCTGCTTCAGCCTCCCAAAGTGCTGGGATTACAGGGGTGAGCCACTGTGCCCAGCCTATCTTTTCTTTATGCTAGGAACATGCGAATTATTTTCTTTAGGTATTTTAAAAATGATTTATTCATTTATTTATTTTTAGAGATGGGGTCTTGCTGTATTGCCCAGGCCAGAGTGCAGTGGCTGTTGGCAGGCATAGTCATTGCACACTGTACCCTCAAACTCCTGGGCTCAAGCAATGCTCCTGCCCCAGCCTCCTGAGCTGGGACTACAGGTGCGCACCACCACACACTTCTAGCTGCTCGAAATGTACTGTCAATTAAATTAATGTTAACTGTCATCACTCTACTGATCTATGGAACACCCAGATCTTAGGAATAATCCCAGTAAGAAATGCACAGGATTTATTCGTGAAGAAAACTATAAGAATGTTACTGAAAACAGTTAAAGGAACATTGAGTAAATGGAGAACCGTATTATGTTCTGTATAGAAAATAGAATATTATGAGGATGTTACTTCTTAACGTTAAGTTCAAATTAAACTTCACTGCAATTTTAGTTCAGTGCAATTTTAATAAAAATCCCAATGGGATTAAAAGATTGAAGAACTGATTTGAAAAAAATAAGTGAATATAAATAGCTAAGTAAAATAAAAAAAAAAATTTGAGGGTGAAAAATGACCCAAGTATTATGAAATATAAAGATAAATTAGTTAAATTAATGTAGTACTAGTAGAAGTATTGGTTGATAGGTTAATGGGATGGATTTGATTACCCAGTAATAGAATTTTGTCTCTGTGAGAATTAATATATGTATCTGTGCACACCTATGAGTTTGGGGCAGATTATTTAACAGAGATTGACACAACTGGCTAGTTTTATGAGAAAAAGTTAATCCTTTTCTTGTGTCATATACCAGAATAAGTAACATCCAGACAGCTTAAAGGGTCAGTGTAAAACAGCAACACTGTACTGAAATACATGTCTTCCCTCATTCCGCAGGTAGTTAGCACCGAGTCAGGGCCAGGGTTTTGCTCAAACGAGTGGACTTGAGCCTCTGGCCCACTGAGGAGTGTCCATGGGCTGGCGCTCTGCCAGGAGGAAAGGACAGGTGTGATCGCAGCGTTCCCCAGCTGGTTCCACCCCGATGGGGAGTGTGGAAGGTGTGTTGAGGGGTATCCAGAGAAGGCCTCCCCAAGAAATTGATCTTTAAACTGAGATCCGAGGAGAGAGTCAGAGCCGGCCAGGTGACCTGGGGGAGGGGAACTCCCAGCAGAGGGAACTGTGGGTTTGAGGGCCGAGAGGTCAGTGTGGCCATGCCACAGTGTAAGTACGAGGAATGAGTAGATGGTCCACGGAGGGTGAACAACGCAGGCAGTGAGAGCAGTGAACAACACTAGGAGAACCAGGCAACATCACTGATGTGAACGAATGCAAACTAAATCAATACGACAGCTTTTCTCATTAAATGATTGATGATTTTAAATAACAAGGATTTTATATCTGGTTTAATATCTGGTGGGAGTGTAAATTTGTCTAATTTTTTTTGCAAAGGAATTTGGCAGAATGTATTGAGTGTGTTAAAATGTTTATATCTTTTGATCAAATAATTCCGTTTCTGGAGATTTATCATAAACCTGAGAATAGCCCTTCCTGCTACGTCCCTCTCACCACCTGCCACCCTTGCTGTGAAACCCTGCCTTCAAAGAAGGGTGTCACTCCTGCACTAGGGCTGGGATAGCCAGGTGACAGGCTGGCTGGAGGGCAGGTGGGTGGGGAAGGGGCTCAGTGTTCTGGGGGACATTTTAAAAGCTGGAAAAACACATAAATGAGTTCCATATTGAAATATATATATATATATGTCTTTCTGTTATGCTTTCAGATGAAGACAGTCAGTGTTGCCTTAGTTTTGTGCCTGAATGTTGGTGTGGACCCTCCCGATGTGGTGAAGACCACGCCCTGTGCGCGCTTGGAATGCTGGATTGGTGAGTACTTCTCTCACCCGCTGCCACGAAGGCCCTCTGGCTGGCTCTGGGCTGGGCGGGGCTCGCCAAGCCTGTGGTCTGGTCCAGGGGTCCGTCTCCAGCTGTGCAAATCAGGATTTTTTTTCTTTTTGGAATCACATCACCTTTAAGTAATTTCAGATGCATTCACCTGTGATTTGTAGTGGAGAAAGTGTTTCAAGAAAAATTAATAAGATAATGATTATTGGATTATATAATTTTCTACTTTAAATTTGTTCTGTCTGGCATAGTATCTATGTACACTTAAAAAAAAATGGAATGACTGATACCTGCATGGAAATGTAGAAAAGGTAAATGGAACCATTTCCAGCAAAGCATCACATAATGGCTTATGGCCCATAATAATAGTGGCCAGCATTTGCTGAGTGCTTCTAGTGTGCCAGGTACCATAGGAAGCACTTTACAATTTACAATGCTCACAACAACCCTGTGTGGTGGGGTTTATTGCTTATCTCCATTTGAGAGCTGAGGAATATGAGACATAGAGATTAGTAATTTGCTCACGGTTGTCCTATAAGTAGCAGAGCTGGGATTTGAACCTATGCAGTTCAAGTCCAGGGACTGTGTGTGTGTGTGTGTGGTTTTTTTTTTTTTAATTGTGGTAAAACATACACAACACAAAATACCAAGGAATTATTAAGTGTACAATTCAACGACATGAAATAATTCATAATGTTATGCAAGCATTCTCACTGTCCATCTCTAGAACTTTTTCACCATCCCAAACGGAAACTCTGTCTCCATTACACAACTCCTCATTCCTGCCTTCCCCCAGCCCCTAGTAACCACCATTCCACTGTCTGTCTCTATGAATTTGTCATTCTAGGGACCTCGTATCAGTAGACTGATAAGGTATTTGTCCCTTTGTTTCTGGCTTCTTTCACTTAGCATAATACCCCCAAAGCTCATCCACATTGTAGCTGTGTCAGAATTTCATTCCGTGTTAAGACTGAATTGTATTTCATTGTGTAGGTACACCGCACTTCTTCAACCATTCATCTGTTGGTGGACATTTAGGTTGTTTTTCCCTCTTGGCTACTGTGAATCATGTTGCTGTGATATGGGTGTACAACTACCTGTTTGAGTCTCTACTTTTAATTCTTTTGGATATATACCTAGGAGTGGAATTGCTGGATCACATGGTAATTCTGCATTTAGTTTTTTGAGCAATCAATCTATTGTTTTCCACAGTGGCTGCACTATTTCACATTCCCATCAGCAGTGTACCAGGATTCCAGTTTCTCCACGTCCTGGCCGACAGTAGTTATTTATTTATTTTTCTAATGGTCATCTTAACGGGTGTGAAGTGGATCTCGTGGTTTTAACTTGCATTTGCCTAATGATATGTGATGTTGAGCATCTTTTATGGGCCTTGTGACCATTTATAGGTCTTCTTTGGAGAAATGTCTATTTAAGTTCTTTGCCCATTTTTGAATTGGGTTGTTTATTTTGTTGTTGAGTTGTAGGAGTTCTTTATATATGCTGAATATTGGTCCTTTAGCAGAGGTACGGTTTGCAAAGTTTTTCTTCCATCAGAGACTGCTCTTAACCATTCCACACTATATCTACTTTTCTTATTTTAGCATCAAATTTATTGATATACAATTTTTTTAAAAATTTTTTAAATTTTGAGACCAAGTCTCACTTTTGTCGCCCAGGCTGGAGTGCAGTGGCATGATCTCGGCTCACTGCAGCCTCCGCCTCCCAGGTTCAAGTGATTCTCCTGCCTCAGCTTCCCAATAACTGGGATTGTAGGCATCTGCCACCATGCCCAAGCAATTTTTGTATTTTTAGTAGAGATGGGGTTTCACCATGTTGGCCAGGCTGGTCTCAAACTCCTGACCTTAGGTGATCCACCCACCTCGGCCTCCCAAAGTGCTGGGATTGCAGGCATGAGCCACCACGCGTGGCTGAGATACAATTTATATACAGTAAAGTTCACATTTTTTAGGTGTACATTTCTTTAAGTTCTGACAAATATATACAGTCGTGTAACAAATGCCATAATCAATGTATAGAATATTTCTGTCACACCAAGGAAGTTCCCTTGGGCCCCTTTGTAATCGATCCCCTCTCATTTCTCTGGCCTCTGGAAACCGTTGATCTGATTTTTTCCTTTTACAGAATGTCATTTAAGTGGTGACGTATAGTTTGTAGTTTCTTGTATCTTGCTTCTTTCCTTTAGCAGAATTTGTTTGTGATTCATCTGTGTAGCTACATGTATTAGTAGTTTTTTTGCTTCATTCCATTTTTGTGGCTCTCCCACAATTTGTTTATCCATTTACTAGCTGACAGACATTTGGGTTGTTTCTAGTTTTTGGCATTTATGAATAAAATTGCTATAAGCACTTGATCTTTGTGTGTACATATTTTCTCTGGGTAAATATTCTGCCTCCCGGGTTCAAGCGATTCTCCTGCCTCAGCCTCCCGCGTAGCTGGGATTATAGGCATGCACCACCATGCCTGGCTAATTTTGTATTTTTACTAGAGACAGGGTTTCTCCATGTTGGTCAGGCTAGTCTCGAACTCCCGACCTCAGGTGATCCACCCACCTCGGCCTCCCAAAGTGCTGGGATTACAGGCGTGAGACACTGCGCCTGGCCAAGTGTATGTTTAATTCTTTAAGGAACTGCTGAACTGTCAGTTTTTAAAAAGATTTTTAAAAATAATGAATAGATGTCTTTTATATTTACCTTCATATTTATTGTTTTGAGGACCATTCATTTCTTTCCACAGTTCCAAGTTTCTATCTGGTATCATCATCATCATGCCTGAAGAACTTACTGTAACGTATCTTGCAGTGCTGGTCTATAGGCATTACATTTTCCTAGATTTCTGTTTGGAAAATTCTTCATTCTGTCTTTGTGGTTGAAAGGTATTTTTTCTGGGTATATAATTTTCTGTTGACTCTTTTAGCACTGTCTTTTAAAATAGTCACCTGTTATTTTCTGGCTAGCAGTTTCTGAGAAGTCTGCTGTAATTCTTTGTTTTTCTGTATATTTTGTTTCATTTTTCTCTGGCAACCTTTAAGGTGTTCCCTTTGTATTCTCAGTAGCTTTATCTATAACCTATTTTTTTTTTGTTCATTTGTTTTGGAATTTATTCTCCCCACCCTTTTTTTTTCTTCTAGAGATGGGTGTCTCTCAATGTTGCCCAGGCTGGGCTGTGCTTGAACCTCTGGGCTCTAGTGATCCTCTTGCCTCAGCCTCCTGAGTAGCTGGGACTGTGGGTGCACCTGTGAAATTTATCCTTTTTGGGTTTCTGTGAGCTTCTTCGATGTGTAGTTTGATGTCTTCATCTTTGAAAAGTTCCCATTGTCTTTTCAAATATTTATTGATGTTTTCTCTCTCTTCTGAGACTCAGCTCTCTATGTATTGCGCTGCTGGACATTGTCCTGCAGCTCTTCCGTGTGTCTCTGTGTTCTGGGACTCAGCTCTCTATGTATTGCACTGTTGGACATTGTCCCGCAGCTCTTCCGTGTATCTCTGTGTTCTGGGACTCAGCTCTCTATGTATTGCGCTGTTGGACATTGTCCCGCAGCTCTTCCGTTTGTTCTCTCCCATGCCTCATTGAGCTTTTGTTAGTCTGCTGATAAACCAGTCAAAGGAATTCTTTTTCTCTGATACTGGGTTTTTTATTTCTAGCATTTCCGTTGACTGTGTTAGTTTCCATCTCTAGGGGAAAGGCATATCGCCCACCTTTCCTTCTAGAGCCTCTGCTACGTTCATCATAGTTGCCTTAGAATCCTTGACCTATAGTTCAGAAATCAGGGTCAGCCCTGAGTCTGAGTCTCCTAATTCCTTTATTATCTCTTGACTGCAACGTGCTTTTCCTTGCTTTTTTGTGTGCTTTATAAATTTTACTTGCATGCAGGACATTGCGTGTAGAACAATAGCGAATGAGGTAAGTTGTATAGTCTAGAGTTTAGTAAGTAATTAACTGGGGTTGGAATTTGTTGTTGTAGTTGGTTATACCTACTGCAGCAGAAACTTAGTTCTTAGAGTGATTAGTTGGTGCTTGTATCAGTCAAGGTTCTCCAGAGAAACAGGGGCAGTAGGGGTGTGTGTGTGTGTGTGTGTGTATAAGTATGTATGTATGTATGCATGCATGTCTTGTAGTCTTCAGGCAGAAATTTCTTCTTACGAAAACCTCAGTTTGGCTCTTAAGGCCTTCAACTATTTGGGTGAGACCCCCCATATTACCAAAGAAAATCTCCTTTAAGCCAGCTGATGGTGGATGTCACCACGTGTAGAGAGTACTTTCACGGTGGCACCTGGGTTCGTGTTTGATTGAATTGCTGAATGCTGTGGCCTGGCCCAGTGGACACATAAACCTGACCAGCACAGTCCTCCTGTGTTAGGGTGGGCACAGGCATGCCAGGGGGCTTTCCCAGGGTTCCTGCTCCACCCCTAGCCTGAGCCGTGTCTGCCCACCTGCCACACCGAGTGGTCCCTGGCTTTGCCTGTCTCTTGGCACAGGATTTCCATTGCTAGTGACCCAGCGCCAGGCTGTGGAGTGGTGGCAGTTCTCTGTGGTCCTGGTTTCTCTTTAGTCTCAGGCAGGCCCTGGGTGTCTGGGCCTTGGGCGGAGTGCAGTTGCAGCGTTTTCGCCTGTCCCCCCAGTGGTGGCAAACGTCTGCCTCGGTTCAGTGTAGAATTCTGTGCCCAGGGCGTGTTCTGCTCCTAACCCAGGAGCAGGCCGTTTTGCACCTTCCCTCACCCCATCCTCCATGCCCTTCACCTGTGTCTTGGGACAATGTGTTCTAAGCCCATGGTGAGCAAGGTAGGTTTTGTCTGTATCTCCTCCCACCCTCCAGGTACAGGAGTGTTTGCCTGTTCTTGTGGACTGAGGGGCTTCTGGCCCCTGGGATCCAGCTTTGCTTCCTAGGGGAGGAGGTCTCTAGGGGCAGGTGGGCGTTAACCTCTCCACACTCTGTGCTGCCTCCAGTGGGTGCTTCTCAT